ATTACAAATAATGATTTATAAACAAATGTTTCACAAAGTTACAAGCAATATAAAGTCTTCTTTCTAGTTTGGAACTTATCGAGGGTTCACAATGAGCGAGTTGATTACAAGTTGATATAGGTACAATTCACTTAGTAGGGAGCTAGCTAGCCCTGTAGTCCTCACTGTTCATACGCCTATTAGAGATTGAGTTTCCACTGATGACGTTAGGTAATGTTTTCGTAAGAATATTAATGTCTGATGAGAATCCACTGAAGTTAAACGATTTGTAATATTCAAACTTTGTAAAGGTTCCTGGTCAAATATCTGAAGTTTTCCGATTGGTAAGCATTATAACAATCACTGTTATAGCTTCCGAGGTTTTATAGCACACTGATTATAGTGAACTAATAATTGATACTCCCTTTTGGCGCATCGCATTGGTTATATTTATAGCTGTGTGGAGGCGTTCTAGAAATTTCAGTTTTATGTAACAATACTGAACTATTCTTAAACATTTACATATATACATATATTGTTGATTCTTACTCTCAAGAATCTTCTGCAACTTTTGAGAATAAGTGGGAGTTTTGCAATACATATTTAACAGTATAAGCTACACATGTTTTAAAATGTAAACTTAATCTAAACAAACGGTGATATTAAAATAAATATATAATGACAAATTTGTTACACAATTGAGAAACATTGTTTGGTTAAAATCAATAAAAAGTAAACACATATTGAAGTTACAAGGATTAAATTTGTGCTATTTTGTTCAAAAAGTATTTGAACTCCTCCCATGGGACTATGAATGCTAAATTATGCTTAGATAAAATTCAGAAAATTTACAAACACTTCATGTTTTCACTCGGAATGCACCTAAGTCAATCCAAAATTAAAATGAGTGATTTATAAAATGAAATAAGTAACTTTTTTTCAATAAATTCAAACCATGAAGTATTTATTTTGTGTGGAAGAGCACTTCAAGTTAATTTTCTATATTTTGTAAATCAGTGGTGCAGTTTTGCTGTTGAGGTGGGATGCATCCATCCGGGCATGTTTAATATAAATATAAATGTTAGAGGTATCCCACACTTTACAAAATTTAAAATTGAAAAACAGCTAAAATGGCTCAGAAAAATATATATTATTTAAAAACAATATTTCACCACTGTTAATGTGATGCCATTATTTTTAAATGATATGTTTTTTGTGTCCCATTTTAACTGCTTTTGAATTTTATATGTTCAATATAAGCTTATACAATAGGCTTCATACTATTAATTCTGAACCTTTTGTTAACACCACGACAGATTGTGGTGAGAGGAGTCTTTATGATATTCTGAATAATATGTAAGAGCATAAAACTGATTAAACTGTGTAAATGTGATTTAAATCATTACAACTAAAAATAAATTAAATTTTGAAACTTGTCAATGAGAAGTCATCCCTCATTTAATAAATATAAGTAATAATACTGAATACAATGAGATACATTGCTGTACTGTTTAGTTTTGTTTGAATTGTTTGTTGTACAAAAAAACAGATTGTGATTTTGAAATGTTTGGAAGAATTTGAGAAATATTCATGCTCTAAGTATACTTTTGGAACATAAATGTTGTCATAGTTATAGTTTGTATAAAGATAAAAGTAAAAAATTAATAATGTAGTCATCCCTTTTGTTTAAATAGTATATTAAAATTTACTGTGCACAAAATTTACAATTAGATGTGAATCAGGAAAAGAAACCCCTGTCCATGGACAGACCAAAAACAGTGACTTTTCAGAAGGAATAAAGAAACAATTTCCAACAGTTGGGGTTCTTATAAAACAAGAGACACGACAAATGACAGATAATGGTAAGAGTAGGTTTTATGATGTTCTGAATAATGTGTAAGAGCATAATACTGCTAAATTTTTAATTTAAAATAAATATACAAAAAAAAATTATTAGAACATTGACTAAAGAAGACAATGTAATTTGCTAAGACACTATCATCCCCTCAAAAGATGATGATTCATGTCTTGTTTTCCATGTGATTTTCCTTCTGTGTTAGTGGTTTTAATAACACAGCATTTTGTTGCCACCCGTTTTAATTTTACAGTGTGTGGTCTGAACAGTTACTAATGAAACTCACCTTTGAAGATAGCTAGAACCAATTATTGATATAAGATAAATATTTTATAAGCCATGAATATCTGCATCACTGTAGAGTAAATAAATCGGTTTAAACTTTTAATTTGTGAACTATCTGGAGCTTTTGTACAGGTGAACAAAGGTTTACAATGGGAAGCTTACAAAACTTAGAAACAAATCACAGATCTGGGAATTCTTTTTACAGTTACTTTAGATGTTCTTTTCTTGGTAAGTTACCTGTTTGAAAGATAAAGAAACTTCTGTTCTTATTTATTGAATATTACTGTTAAGTTTATCATATTTTATACAACACACACAAATATAGGAACTTATTATTTATTGAAAACAAAATATATTAATTAGATATAGATTGATCTTGGCCAAGAATTTTGTTAGCAAAAACTATGATAACTTGTCTGAAATAGGTAACAATAATAATAATAATAGTACCATATTTAAAGGTAAGGTCATTGTTAGATTTGTCAGTTTTTGAATGTTTTCATTGATTTATAACCAGAAGTGGTAACTACTTCAATTGGCAAAATAAAGTTTCAAAAGAAACATGAATATAAATCAAGTTCAAACTGATTATATAAAATAGAGCTTTATAAACAACAATAACAGAATTTAAATTTAAAGATGAAAGGAAGTATTTTTGATGTTTACAAAAAAAATGATTGATCACATTCCAGAAAAAATTACTTTGTTCAAACCTATTTATATGTACTGTAATCCTTGGTAAAGGCATAAGCCAAAACATCAGGTCATGAAAGAGTTGAACGATTTTGTTTGAATTATTATTATTATTTGGCTTTCAATAGAAAAAATTATTGTAAAGCAAAAAATTGTCTTGCAAGAAACAATGGAGTAGATGATTTTTGTATTGTTAAAAATACAATACATGGAATGACTTGTACCTAGTATGATGATAAATACACTAGTGAAACCAGTCATCCAATACATGAACATTTTGAGGAACACATTCATACCACCTTGAATCTTCATTCTAAAGAGGTTACTGCCAAACACTTTCTGTAATAATTTATTTGATCATAAATTCAATATCTCTCCTTTTTCAATCTCATAAACCTAAAATAAACATAAATAATTCTTGGCCTTTGTAATTTATTTATTTATATTTTTTTTAGATAGCTTGCAATTTTTTATTGATTTGTCATTCTAATTCTTCTTAATAATATTGTCATTGTTAAGTGAGTTTCTCATTAATATATGTTTTCTCTTCAGTTATCAGTTTGGTTCTTCTATTAGTGATTTTTTTCAAGTATTTCTAGTCCTGCTACCATACTTTTAAGTTTCTGAAGGGTTTAACAAATGAAACACATAAGCTATCAGAAAATTATAAAATGCCCAACTTTGTTTGTTTCCTGTTAAGCACAAAACTACATAATGGACTATCTGTGCTATGCCCAGTTTTTAGCTAAAATGCCTGAAAAGGTTTGAAATTTAGAATGTCTTGGGGAAATAAGTTTTACAAATAATCTGCCATTAAGTCAAGAAATTCGTTTTGTAGCTATAATATATAAAGCAATCTTGGGACCCTTGAAAGAAGTCTTCATCAGTTTAAAAATGGAAGTAGTAACATGACATATCATGGTAATCATGAAATTCAAAATACCTTACTATTAACTTTGGCAAGAACAAAAAGAAATCTTACTGGCATAAAGATGGCAGAAAACAAAACCTCACAATTTCATTTGAGAGTACATCTAAAACTGTTGATTTAGGGCTGGCTTCAGATTTGTAATCACTAAATTACAATTTATTCTCAGCTCCACCCACTGTTTTTATTTTTATATCAAGTTTGCCCTATATTTGACTTTCTAAGTTTATAAATGATGATGACGTTTTAATCTTGAATGACAAATTTATCAGTGAGTAGAGTTGGGGATGAAGACAAGATGAAAGGTTTAATATTCATATTTTTCTTTGAAATATGAAAAAATATATATATATAAATCTTCAATCTAAAAATAATAATTTAGACAAATGTTTCAACCCTTTAAGGACTGGAGATATCTCCCCTGACTTTTTCTTTCTCACAGTGGAAATACTTAGCCAAATTCCATGAAACTTAGTACAATGTTGCTAGAGTATGTAATTTTGGTTTAAAAAATTCATATCAGTTGATACGTATTTCTATATTTTTGAGGTTTTGATGTTTCCAAAATTTCATGTAATACTATTATGAAACAAACATTAAAAATATGAATCACTTTTTACACCTTGCAGAGCAGACTGAAGGACTGAATGAAACTAGGTATATATATATCAAGAACTTGGTGTTAAGGTTGTTTCTTCTGAACATGCAATAAACAGGAATTGTGGTTTCAACAAGATGGAACCACCTGTCATACAGCATGAGCAACTGTAGCAGTATTGCATGAACTGTTCCCAAACAGGGTAATTTCTCATAATGGAGACAAACTGGCCTCCAGAATCCCCAGATTTGTTAGCAGCAGACTTCCTTTTGTTGGGTTACTTAAAGGACTGTGTATATCAACAAATCATGTACACTACAGGATCTGAAAGATAACACGAAAACAGAAATTAATGGCCTTATATATGAAACTTTGACCTCTGCAATGGAAGGCATCATTCTTAGACGCCTGTCTGAGCAGTTCATGGTGGACACCTACTGGACATTATTTTTAATATTTAATGGGTACAAGAAATCTTAATGAGCTAAAATTTCATAAATAATGAACACAAATTATGCCAACAGATGACACTGTCGATTATTGCAATTTTAAATCCAGACTCTTCTTTTGGCAGACCCTGTATTAATAACATAGCAACTACCAAAAAGATGTTGAAACAAGTTGCTTCTTTTATCTTTAACAAAAAACAAATTTTTGGATGTGCCGTACTTTAGTGGAATACTCTCTTGTAGCGATTAAACTAAACAGTGGGTTCAGGTTGGATGAGGGAAGAAATTATTTGAAGTTATCTTAACTGATTTGACAGACCAACTGAATTGGAGATTCGTCAACTGATTACTGCATTGACATCAAAACATAAAAAAACGGGCACAATAGTATCATTAATTAAAAAACCATTAATTTCAATATTTTGTGAAACTAACAGCACAGTAAAGCCCAAAGATGCAGTGTTGAAGTTGAAGCAGATGCATTACAAGATGATTTCTCTAGCAATTCTCAAATTAAAATGCCATTTCTGCAAATGAAGAATAAATATAAGAAGTATGATATAATGCCCTGTATAGTACCACCAGAGTATAATACATACAGATTTCATCATGTCATATTTTCATTAAAAATATTTTGTTGTTTTTTTGTTTTAGAAGTTATGCCGAGCATCATTCCTTGAGATCTATCAAATTAACCCTAAATTATCGGTTTCCAAAATGACCCTCCTAGGCTCAGTACAAAACATATACCAGCTGGTTCGTGTGGCAGGTGTTAGAAAGTTTAGATGGTTTATCTACCATGTTAACAGGAACACTAGCACTGCCTGTGTTAATTTATGCATTCCATATTGTCAAACATGCACAAATTATTGTTGCATGCTATACTGTAGAGAAATGTGTAGATCGAAATAGATGTGTAGTGTTTTACACAGCCTTACTGAAGTACAGTAATATGTATCAAGCTAAAACACAAATCAAAGCATAAAATACAAATGTGTTGGGTTAAAGACAGTCAGCAAAAAGTACAAATACTATCTACCTTTTTATAATGATTAGTGATAATTCAGGAAATTATATGTTTATACTAACAACCTATGTAAATAACACACCAGCTTGTTTGATTCTATATATTTTTTATATTATAATCCTGAATTTTAATAGCTTCTAACTACATGCATCTTTGGCTTTGTGTAGAATCTGCACAATGAAAAGAGCTTCTGATGTTTTTAAGCATTATAAACCTTTTAAATGATTTATACATTAGCATCTCTGATGTAGATCCAAGGCTGTGTAACTTGAAGAAGCTCAGTTAAGATTAGTATATCTGATGTAGATCCAAGGCTGTGTAACTTGTAGAAGCTCAATTAAGAATTAAGCAAGTATTTATTTTATAGTGGCTCCGTTTTTAAGATGTTCATGCTATTGCATTATACTAAAAAATAGTGTAAAATAAAAATACAGGGTTCATCAAAAGAAGCATAGAGATCTTATATAGTTAGATTTTCCAAAGTATTAAGGAAAAACACTGCCTGTAATTTTCAGAATGCAGACTGAGGGTTTGAATTGTATTGATGAACAGGTGAACAATCCACCAGCATTCTCTTATTGTTGAGCATTATTTCAAATATGAATGCTCCATCATCATTGCTTAAGGAGCATAGCATCCATTCAGTCAAAATTTTCACATTTCACTCTATCAAACTACTTTTGTATTTACAGATATTTCCACATTACAGTGGCAATTGCTTGGTTTAGGTCAAAAATGACATTGTTTGAATGCAAATTACACAGAACTAACAAATAAATATTAAATTTAGAATAAAATTTAGCTAGAAATATAAATTTTCTAATTGATAGAATGAAAAGTATAGAAACAAAAATAAACAGATTCTCTCAAACACACTCAAGGAATTAAGTTCTTAATACATAACGTTTTGGCCTTAGGCCTACTTCACTTCAAGTGCTATACAGAGATCCTTAATGCTCAGAAAATATGTAAATGATCTAACACCTGCCACACAAGCCAGCCCATCTCGATGTGGATAAAAGAAATGAGTCATTCTGAAAAGGTTTGGTTTGTTTTAATTAGACAAAAAGACTTTGGCATTATTTTCAAAGTCTAGGTTAATGGACCAGACCTGTGACCTGACCTGAGGCCTTGAGAGCCAACATGGAGTAGGTAACTTGTAAATGTAAAGTAAATGTAGCAATGAAATATGTTTGAAACGTTCTAGAGATGGTTGTGAATGTGATGGTTTAATTCTTATTGACTTTAAAGGTAATTAATTATCCATACTATATTATATTGTACTGTCAGGTGGAGCTAGAAGTTTCTGTCTACTCAAGGATATCGAAGATTTTGGAACTTTTAGAAAGTGATCCTCCAGCACTCAAGTGTAAACCATTAAGTTTGGATGAAGACAAAGTGATGAATAAGATCAATGATCTAATCAAAGTAAGTGTATACTAGTGTCAGTTTGACAGGCTGGAAATAGTTATTGGAACTCTGACATCAATGCTATAAGAAGTGTACATTTAGTATAAACATTTAACTTGTTGAAACCTGTTGTAGAAACACAAGTGTAGAGGACGAGTTTAGAAAATCTTCCGCCTTTCGTTTTTAGGTCAGTGTGTGTATGGTGTAGTTGGTCTATCCCTGTTTATGATTGGTGGAGAGATTTCTTGTATATTCAACCAATGGTAACCACAGGTTAATCCCCATCTAGTCTGGAATCTCTTGTTTAGTGAAGGTTTAATTGTGTTAATATAAAATGATTCTTTAATTTTTCTTGTCTTCCAAAATTTGTCTGTGTCGATCATTCTAGTTTTTTTCCCAGTTTATTTTGTGTCCAATTGACATGGCGTGTTCTGCAATGATTGAATTTTATGTTTTTTTCAGTCTTGTACTATCTTTATGTTTTTTTATTCTTGTCGCAAGTCTTCTTTCCATTTCTCCAATGTATGTTTCGTTACAGGAACACGGAATTTCATAAATGACATATTTGTGTTTCTCATTGGTAGGTTTCTGTTTGTATTCACCAGAATGGATCTTAATGTCTTGTAGGATTTCTTGTGTTTCTCATTGGTAGGTTTCTGTTTGTATTCACCAGAATGGATCTTAATGTCTTGTAGGATTTCTTGTGTTTCTCATTGGTAGGTTTCTGTTTGTATTCACCAGAATGGATCTTAATGTCTTGTAGGATTT